CAGAGAGGGCAGTGTCCTACCCAGGCCCAGCTTTCTTCTCTCATCTGTCTTCTCTTAGTCCTTCACCGCCCCGCTCAGGCTCACCCAACCTGGCTGTGCTGGCGCGGCACGCTTACTCTTAGCCACTATGCTCTGCTTCACTTCTATTGACTTACATCCTTCTTGTGGGCAAATACCCTCAACTGTGCACACTTAGTCTTTCCCTATAGAGCAGTGGCTCTCAACCTTGGCTGCACATTAGAATCACCTGGGAATCTTGTTAAGATCCTGATTTCTGGGCCTCATCCTCTGGAAATTCTGTTTCTTTGTTACTAATGATGAGGTTGAGAACCACTGCTATAGAGCCTAATTGCGAAAGGACGGTGTGGGTGGGTCCAGGCCACATGGGGAAAGGTGATGGAGAAGGGAGGCAGGGTGAGTAGCTCCCAGGGCCCTTTGATGGTGGGGGAGGTGCCTGGTGACAAAGGCAAGGTCAGGGACTGTTTTGAATCATTCTCAGGACAGAGAATTTCTTTCTGAAACCGGTTGACCCTCCCAGAGATAGTCCGGGCATAACTGAGGGGCTAGAAATGCCAAAAGCAAGGCCCGATCATCTGTCACGGCTGTGGCAGGGAAATCTGCCCACACAGTATCCGGGCACAGAGGGCAGCAGCTCCGTGTGCTCCCTAGCACTCTGGGTGCAGAGACCCACTTTCCCAACTCAGGGTTCTGTCCGGGACAAGTGTCGGAAGTGCCCCGAAATGCAAACGTGGGTGAGGGAGGACTCTTTGTTTCTCCCCAAGTGCCCTGCCAGGCACTTTCCACCCGTGTTAACACTGTTACAACGCTTGTCTGTTTTTCATCTCTGTTCCCGGGCAACTCCCATGATGTAAAGTGTTCAGGAAATCCAGAATCACTGAATAAATGCATGAATGTAACCTCAAAGATGGGGGAGCCCGCTGCCTTTTGCAGAGGCCTTAGCCATTGCGGCTTAGGCTGGAAGGGTCCAAGCACAGGGGGCAAAGGCTATTGTGCCAATCACTCACCCCAGGGCACTTTCATCCCACCCTCTAGCGGGGACCGGGGCGGCCCACCCCCAAAAGGCTACGCACCCGGCGTCCTGATGGCCCAGCCCCCTCCTGCCCCTCCGTCCAAGGGACGAGCGGTGGAGTCCACCACCCGCTCTGGCCCCACCTGGATCCGCCAACTCCGAGTTCTAGGAGGGGAATCGGGCTCAGGAGCTCCCACGCGGGGGCGCTGAAAGGCCGCGGGAGGAGTGAAGCGGGGCCCCTGTGGCGCCCTCTGGGTGGTGGGACCCAGACGGTCGGCCAGACCGCGGCTCCCTCCCCTCCAGGGTCCCCACCCAGCAGCCACGACCC